TTCCTGAATTCCCTGGTGAATTTCTCGTGACTCCATTTTTTTCAGAATCAGTGGACCAAATCTCTCATGTTTAGCAATAGCATTCTGAGACAGAGCCTGGGGGGGGGGGGGGGGGGCGCTTATTTTCAGGGGGATGCCTTATATTTCACTCAGAAGGAAACCTGTAAGTAGGTCTTATTTTCGGAGGATGTCTTATTTTCGGGGAAATACGGTATGCATATGTATATGAAGGAAGCAAGATAATCTAACCAAAATTCCTCTTTTGAATATTTTATTTTTATCTAACAGATCATTCTTAGAAGGCTGATATGTTTCACAAGAGAAAGTATGGGTATAAGCCTATTAATATAGATTACTACGTTAACATCCTATCATCTGAAAAGAAGGTACTTTTAAATGGAAACCAGATAGGTAAACTGGCTAATGTGGAGAAGTAGGTGAGATAAAATGTAGGTGTCTTTTCCTCATGCATAGTCATAGTGAAGGTGAGCTGAGGGATGAGGAAACATGCTTATACAGGGCAGGGTGATGAGACGAAAGGAGCAGGGACTTCGAAATCAAACAGATTTGGTTCAATTTACAGCTTTACCTTTAATTCGTCATGTGACATTAGGCAAATTAATTAAAATTAAATTAAAATTGAGTCTTCATTTCTTATCTGTAAAATATCTAACTCATGTGGTTAGTATTAGATGTATTACATGAAAGTTTCTGACATGTACATGATCCTACGAGCACCAGGCTCATTTCAGTTACTTCTCAGTTTTGCCTTAGGCCAGCCCACAGCCCAGCTTGGGGGAGGGGGGGAGATGGAATGTTTTAAGACTTAAGAGTATTGCTCTAGCACCATGGTCAGTAAACTGCGGCTCTTGAGCCATACTGAATGTAGCTCTTCCACAAAATACTATGGCCTGGGCGAGGCTATTTTGAAGAAGTAGTGTTAGAAGTTTAACTTTTAAAAAATTGGCTCTGAAAAGAAATTTCAGTCGTTGTAGTGTTGCTATTTGGCTCTGTTGACTAATGAGTTTGCCGACCACTGCTCTAGTAAGTCTGTGAGGATGTGCCTATGTAGGTAGATGGGGTGGAGAGAGAGATAATTTCAGGTAGTAGAACTAAATGCTTCTATTAGATTCAAGCACACACACACACACAAAATTAATTTTGAAAAACAGTTCATAGTTTCTCCCCTTGACAGACTATCAGTCACAATTTTTACAAAGAAGAAATCTGAGAGATAGAAACAATGTGAATTGGTCCCAAAGACAAATGAACTGCCAAAGAAGTAGTTAGAGATGGAATAGACTCAGCATTCTTATGTCTTGAACTCTCTTTCCTTCTAAAATAATAGCCTAACCATTAGATCTCGTTATTCTCAAGCCGCCCGCAATTTTACTCTGGCACTATTTCCTCATTATAATGAAATGTGGAAGATACAATGTAATGAGAAAACTCAGGAAGGTGCCTGTAAACTGAGATTTCATTTTTGTCTGAGCTGGTATCTCACTAATGAACTCTTTAAGGACTGAGTTAAATTTGAAATTTAGGGGATAGGAAACAAAGTTTCTCTTACTTATCAAGTGTTCTAAAACATACAAATATTACAGATTCCTACATGCTGCGATTTAGAATCTTGAAAACACAGCAAGCTTTTAAGCCCCCTTTTAATGCAACAGAATGGCAAAGTCAACTGAGATTAAAATAGGCTGAATATTATTTAAAGAATTACTGAGCCTAAATTCTAATTAAAAGTAACTTTGTTAAATATTCATAAATATAATAGTATAGTAGTATAGAAATATTGCCATTTATACTTGTAAAGTTCAGAGAGGCAGGAGAAAAAAATACTTACACAAGAAACTCTTCCTTCAAACCAGTATTATTATTTAGTCTGTTGAGGTCACACAAAATATAAGATATTTTCCCTCAACAAGTTTATCTAAATATTATTGTAGTGAAGGATGGAGTTAGAAAGTCTTAGGTTTTGTTGCCTTTATTAATTAATTATAGATCCTAAGTTATTCAACCTCTCTCATAATTTGCATAGCTGAAATCATTGTACTTCCCATATAAACAATACCACACAACATCTAATCAATCTCCAAGCCAATACTACTTTGTTAATATGTCTTAATACTGTCCATTGCTCTCTATGCCCATTGTTTCCATTTTAGTTCAACTCATGTCTGGACTATTACAACAATATCCTAATAGCCTCCCAGTCTCATCTAGACCTCATTCTTAGCCACTTTCCACTTTGCAACTAATAAAATATCCTATCTAATAAAAGAGTAATATGAAAATTGACCATCACTCCAACACATAAGATGGCTGTCCCCATGTGGTCAAGGATCCTGCAGCTATGTGGACACAAGATGGCCAGCAGAGGAAGACAGTTGGGAGGGACCAGACCTGCAAGGGAGGGCAGTTGGGAAGCAACAGGCCTGAAAGGGAGGGCAGTTGGGGGCGATCAAGCCTGGAGGGGAGGGCAGTTAGGGGTGACCAAGCAAGTAGAGGAGGGAAGTTGGGGGTGATTGGACCTGCAGGGAAGGGCAGTTGTGGGGGGACCCAGGCCTGTAGGGGAGAGCAGTTGGAGGGGACCAGGCCTGCAGGGGAGGGCAGTTAGGAATGACCAGACCTGCAGGGGAGGGCAGTTAGGGTGACCAGGCCTGCAGGAAAGAGCAGTTAGGAGCAAACAGGCTGGCAAGGAGCAGTTAGGCATCAAGCAGGTTGGCAGGGGAGTGGTCAGGCTGGTGGGCAGAAGTGTTTAGGGGCAATCAGGAAGGCAGGCAGGTGAGCAGTTGGGAGTCAGCAGTCCTAGATTGTGAGAAGGATGTTCAACTGCCCATTTAGACCCATTCCCAGTAGGGGGGGGGGGGGGGGAGGTCTCAGATTGGAGAGGGTGCAGGCTGGGCTGAGGGACACACACCCTGTGCATGAATTTTGTGCACCAGGCCTCTAGTAAACTGTATAATCTTCAAACTAAAACCTCCAATAACTTGCTGCTGCCCTCAGGATAATGTCCAATACCTCACCTCAGTCACTGAGGCCCTACAGAATTTGATCTCTTACTTGTCTACTTTAGTTCCAGGACCTTTTCTCTTTCCCCGGGAAGAATGGAATGTGTGTTTCACTCTATCATGAATAGGCTGCTTGCAGGTTCTTATAAAGTGAGCCCATCTAAAAACATATATAATCTAGGTATATATTTCTTTGAACTACATAGACATTAATCAGCTTGAGGTGATAGACTATGGGAAAAAATTTGGATTTTATAAGATTTAGAAAAATGGTTAATATAGCAAGTAAATGAGAGTTGGGGGAGGGAGAGTTACAATGAGCCAGGGGTTAATATAATACATTTCAGTTGTTCAGCCTGGATCATTCTAACCTTACTGAAACCTTTTTAAAATAGAGTTTAAGCAGAAGATTGTTCACTGTGAAATAATTTTTATCCCTGCAAATTTCAGTTAGTGAGATTCCCTTAAATGATATTCAGAGGCAATCAGTTCCCTACTATTCTTTTAAATAGTCTCTCTCTTCTCCTTCTCCTTCCTCTCTGCCCCTCTCAATACATTTCCTTTAAAGAACTTAAATCACCTTCTAATCTCTGTAAGGTTACATGCATCAATGAGGTAAGTTGTTATAAACCTTATCAAAATATAATGCTTCTGATCCTCTCTAATAAACATTTCCTTCATACACTCTGCACCCCCAAAAGCTACTGGTTAGTCAAAAATCAATTTTCAACAATAACTTGTTATTCAAATAAATCTGAGATACTTGATGAATATATATATATAATTATTTTAAAAATATATTTTATTGATTTTTTAGAGGAAGAGAGTGGGGCAGAGAGTCAGAAACATCGATGAGGGAGAGTCATCCTTGACCGGAATCGAACCTGGGATCTTTCAGTCCGCAGGCCAAAGCTCTATCCACTGAGGCAAACCGGTTTCAGCTGAATATATATTTTTAGATAGAATGTGAAAATGTCTGCATTAGGCCAGAATTTCCTCCTTTATTAGGTAGAGGCCTAATTACATCCTGATCATCTACTGGAGTATAAGCACCAGATTTATTTCTGGAAAAGTCTTTTGATATCAGATGAATATTTTCTAGCTTTATGTAAGCAATGACTAGAACTATCATCAAAACAATTTTTCTAACATAAGATTTTTGAGTTTATTTTTTATCTCTAGATTCTATTATCATGCCTGATATAATACATAGTAGGCACTCAATAAATCTCTATTGAGTGAACTGGTGCATAAAAAGTACAGTCTCTCTCCAATGGAGGACTCAGTCTAAGATAGAAACAACAAAGCAGCTATCATCATCATCATCACTATAAACTAACATTGAATACCTAGTTTTACTTGGTGAGGTACTAGAGTTTATAAAATTATACTGCCGCAGCTTGCGGCTCCGTTGGTCAGAGTATTGTCCCATACACTAAAAAGGTTTAGGTTTTGATTCCTGGTCAGCACACATACCTGAACAAATTACAAGGCCCATTCTGACTTGAGTGCTTGTAGTATGTCATACAAACGAAAACCAACCGATCTTCCCGTAAGAGGGAAGAGGGTTAAAAAAAAACAAAAACAACAAACAAACAAACAAACAAAAAACACCTTTCCTCAACATAGGATTGAAAAGTAAAAGTTGAAAAGTGTTGAAGAAACCTCGATTTAACTACTCAGCACCTCCTTCCCACAGGTGGTGCGGCTAACTGCTCCGCTCTCCGCTGCAAGACCTGACTCCTCACCACCCCGGCTGCGGAGGAGCCGGGGCCAGGCCCGGCGGCGGGGTATCGGGGCAGCGCCCCCGGCCGCAGGGCCCAGCCCGGGCGCCCGCCCCCTCCGCGCATGCGCAGTCGGAGGGCGCCCTGGGTAGGGAGCGCGCGGCCCAGGTTTCCCCCGCAGCTGGGAGGGGCCGGGAGCCGTCGGCGGCCCAGCGGACGCCGGGAACTGCGGCCAGTCCACCCACCGGAGGGGGGGCCGCGTTAAAAGGGAGAGGGGCGGAGCTGGGTACGTCCCGGGAGGGTGGAGCCTGACGCCGGAGGCACTTCACTCAACGGCTTCCTCCCGCGTCCCCCGGGGAATGGAAGCCCGCGCCCCTCTACGAGGGGGAACCATACTCTCCCCGAGGGAATCCTGGGCGGCCCCCCTCTTCCTGGCTGCCCGGACCGCTCCGTCCTCGAACCAGCCGCAGCGAGGACACCCTGAACGGTCACTGATATGAGCACTGACAACCAGGGCTCTCCCAGCGGGGCCCCGGGCCGCTCTGAAAACGAGCGCCCCTCAGCATCTGTCTCCCAGGGGCGCCGGTCCCACCGCCTAGACAGCTGGGGGCCTCCGCTAGGCTTCCCCCTGCCCGACCCGGCGGCTCCTCTTCCTCCGGGAAATTTCGTCTACTACAGCCCGCCGTCCCGTAACGAACGCGGGCCCGTTTTCCGGTGGTGGGCTGGCGGGGTAGTACGCGTGGGGCGGGCCCACGGCACGAGGCCGGGGTGCAGAAACGCCGTGCACCGTCTTCTCAGGGCCCGCCGTCCGCCAGTCAGGCGGCCACAATGGAGCCTCTCCACCCGCAAACACACGCCCACCCGCCCGCTCAGACGCGCGGGCTACCCCGGAGTTGCGGAGGGGAGGTACTGCGCATGCGTGGGGGGAAGGGCGGGACGCAGGGGACGCACGGCCTGCGCGTCGGGGCGGATGCAGTTCCGGCCGCTCCGGAGCCTCTGCTTCCGGCCCGCCCGGAGCCGCGCCCGCTGCAGGCCGCGCCCGCCGCCCTGCCCCGCCCCGTCCTGTCCCCCGTCGCTCGTCCCCGCCCCGGCCGAGCCGGTTGCAGCAGCAGCAGCAGCTGCAGCAGCAGCAGCGTCGGCAGTACCAGCTGCTCCTTCCCGGCGGTCGACCTCCGCGGGTCCCTCCCTGGCTGCAGGGCTAACCGAGGTAGAGGCAGCAGCACCGGCAGCTCCTTCCAGGCGGCCGACCAACCCGGGTTCCGCCCCGGCTGCAGGGAAAACCGAGGTAGAGGTGCCAGTACCGGCTGCTCCTTCCCGGCGGCCGACCAACCCGGATCCCTCCCCGGCTGCAGGGAAAACCGAGGTAGAGGTGCCAGTACCGGCTGCTCCTTCCCGGCGGCCGACCAACCCGGATCCCTCCCCGGCTGCAGGGAAAACCGAGGTAGAGGTGCCAGTACCGGCTGCTCCTTCCCGGCGGCCTCCGATCTCCGCGGGTCCCTCCCCGGCTGCGGGGAAAACCAAGATAGAGGTGCCTGTACCGGCTGCTCCTTCCCGGCGGCCAAACAACCCGGGTCCCTCCCCGGCTGCAGGGAAAACCGAGATAGAGGTGCCAGTACCCGCTGCTCCTTCCCAGCGGCCTCCGATCTCCGCGGGTCCCTCCCCGGCTGCAGGGAAAACCGAGGTAAAGGCGGCAGTACCGAGTGCTCCTTCCCGGCGGCCGACCACCTCGGGTTCCTCCCTGGCTGCGGGGAAAACCGAGGTAAAGGCGGCAGTACCGAGTACTTCTTTCCGGCGGCCTCCCATCTCCGCGGGTCCCTCCCCGGCTGCGGGGAAAACCGAGGTGAAGGCGGCAGTACCGACTGCTCCTTCCCGGCGGCCAAACAACCCGGGTCCCGCCCCGGCTGCAGGGAAAACCGAGGTAGAGGTGCCTGTACCAGCTGCTCCTTCCCGGCGGCCAAACAACCCGGGTCCCGCCCCGGCTGCAGGGAAAACCGAGGTAGAGGTGCCTGTACCAGCTGCTCCTTCCCGGCGGCCAAACAACCCGGGTCCCTCCCCGGCTGCAGGGAAAACCGAGGTAGAGGTGCCAGTACCGGCTGCTCCTTCCCAGCGGCCTCCGACCTCCCCGGCTGCAGGAGAGACCGAGGCAGAGGGAGGACCCAGCGCCGCGCCGCCCGCCCCGGAGACCTCCGCCTCGCCCTCCGAGCGCCCCACCCTCGGGAGCAGCATGGGTAAGTCACCCTTCCTCCTCCGTCATCGCCGGACATTTCTCTCTCTCTCTCTCTCTCTCTCTCTCTCTCTCTCTCTCTCGGCGTGTTGCATGCAGGCTGGGCAGCATTTCTCGCGCACAGTTGCCGAATTCTCAGATCTCCGGAGCGCGAGGCGGCGGCCCTTGGCCCGGGGAGAGGGGGCGCACGCGGGGCGCACGCCGGGGCCGCGCGGGCGGGGAGGGCCCCGGGAGGAGCGCGGGGCGGCTCGGGGCCGCCGCCCACCTCGGCGCCTCGGCGCCTCGCTCCCCGCCTCCACTCTGCCAGCCCCCGAGCCGGTGCCTCCATCCTCTGCCCCACCCGCCGGTCCTCCCGAGGTCGCCCCGCTTCCTTTCCCCCGGCGTCTGCGGGGCTGCGAGCTTGGGTGGGACCGCGAGCAAGACCACTTCTCCGAACTCCCCCGGCCTGCAGACCGCTCGTTCCCCAGCGGGGAAGTGCGAGCAAGTCGAGTGTGAGGGCGATTTGACCACCTGCACGGAAAGCATTTTCTTTGGGGTGGAGCGGACTGGCGCACAGGTTGAAAGGGATGACTTGTCAGAGGCCAGGAGAGACGTGAGGGAGGATGGACAGGAGCCGCTAGCTGTTGTTGGATGACTACACTGTGCAAATACTGCTGTGCTCAACCCACTTACTGGGCTCCTTCGCCTGTCTGCTGTAAGCAGGAAACTGCGCCGTGCAGCCTGTTATGTTACCAAACTTACATTAGTAATTCCTTCCCAGCTTCCCCTGACTAATCTACATAATCGGATTCCTTTGTATATAATAGTAAATCTGAAGAGATTGGTTTTAATGAAATACTTAAATGCAGATATGTTTTCTAAAACTACATATAACTTACCCTACAATTTCCCCCCCTAATGTGTTGCTTAACTGTTAAATTAAGCGATTCCAAAGCCTCTGGTGAATTTCATAATTGTAATTAAACGCCGAAAGTTTTTAAAACATACAGTAGCAATTTGGGAATGCCATATTAATTTTTACATGTTCCCTGGTTGGCTTTCACTCCTGTCTTATCATAATTTCTTCTTTTTAAATGTGCTCCATAGGCATCTGTCAACCCAGACTTTCCCCTCCCCTTTGTGCAAGTTATTTTAAGCTGAAATGCGTGCGGTCCTTTCATCTGCTGTACAGTGCTCCGCAGACCCAGCGTTAGGTCATGGCAGCTCAGGATCTTCAAGGAAGTATCTAAATCTAGAAATGGTTGGTGTCCATGGAGCTTACTTGAAAAGCAAATGCTTCAAGGTCTGATTCAGACCTTTGGCCATATATCTGGAAGAAGCCAATGTTGCAGGAAGTGGTATGAATGAAAAATGAATCTAGGGCCCTGGATTTTATTTTCATTTGTTCACTGTTTTCCGTTTTAATGTACCATTAAGTGTGCTGAAAAATTGGGTGGCCCATTTATATGTATGTACCTAGCCTTTCTCTGAAAGTATAGTTTTAAGTAATTATTAATAGAGGTTATTGGACACATGTCTTTCTCTTGAACATACAAAAATCTTCTCAATTATAACCCACAAGTTCTTTCTGTAAAATACATTTCCCCATGTTTCAAAGTGAGCTAAAAAAATATGTTTAATGTAAATTTTAACTTACATGTTGCATCAGTACCTTTTCAATGGGGAAAACCCAATTCTGTTGTATTATTAGTGAATAAAAATAATTAAAACAAATGTAATTATTTACTTAAATAATAATCTTGAAAATCGTGAATGTTATTGCTTGATTTTAAAAAGGCCAAATAGAAACCCCTCTCATAACTCTTGATTAAATTCATCTCTCTCTTTCATAGAGCTCTGTTTGTACCTTATTGGAAGCTTTTTAGCACTTACATAATCTGCCTTATAATGGAGCTGTTTATGTGTGTGTAGTGCATTTAATCATGAGTTCCAGAAGATAAGCATTTTCATTAATTTTTGTGTCCTCAACAATGCTTTCCACAGAGTAGGTATTCGGTAAATCTTTGTTGAATTAACATCTATCATTTTTAACAGGTGAACCTGAAAGTATGACTCTATACAAACATTTGGGTTGATAGGTGTTCTGAAAGTGTGGAGGGAGCAAAACCAAGAAGTATAATTATACTATGACTGGCTCGCTCTAAAAAAAAAAAAAATTGGGTTATGTTAGTGATAGGGTTTTCGGGCAGCCTCCAGGCAAGCCATTTCCTTCTATACTATTTCCAATGGTAAGGCGATTGAGTGTATGATCCTTAGGTACATACGATAGTGTAAAATTGAAACCTTGGAAAGCAATTTTATATTCTGAGCTAAGGAAGTTTTTATAATTATTCATGTACACATAAGGTGGAAGGTGTACTGATTAATATTGGGGGGGATCACGTTTTAATCTGTCATTATAAAAAATAAATAAGGTGACTTTTACAAAAGGTATTCTCATGGCAGTGATTTTTCTCCCTAAGAAAGTGAAGGAAACTTCTTATATAATTTTATGGACCATGCTTTTATTTTATGTATATATTTTATTTTCAGTTTAATGTGTATTTAATATTTATTGAATGTCAGCCGTGTGTAATGTACTGTGGGAGGACAAAGATGAATAAGACATATTTCAAGTTGCTTATAATCTTAACAGGAAGGATGTAACATACATAGGTAAATATACTAGAAATAAAGTAAAAGTTACATTACAAATAGCCTTGCCGGAACCCGTTTGGCTCAGTGGATAGAGCGTTGGTCTGAGAACTGAAAGGCCCTAGGTTTGATTCTGGTCAAGGGCATGTACATTGGTTGCAGGCACATCCCCAGTAGGGGATGTGCAGGAGGCAGTTGGTCGATGTTTCTCTCTCATCGACATTTCTAGCTCTCTATCCCTCTCCCTTCCTCTCTGTGGAAAATCAACAAAATATTTTTTAAAAAATAGCCTTTACACATATATTATAGAGTCAGGATGGAGGGATGATTTTTGAAAAATTATGTTATTTGAAACAAAGGTTGGGTAAGTTTCTGAAAGGTACAAATTAATGAAGGTTGTTAAATCAGGTTGGGGTTTGGAGGAGAGAAATGACATAAATGAAAATAGGTAGGGAATATTTAAGGAATTTCCAAATAAGATTAAATAGCCATATTGGCTGGAGCAAAAGGTAAGGAAATAGTGGATGGCAGAGATAAAAAAAAGTATCTACACTAATAAAATAGTAAAATGCTAATTGACCATACCTTCGCTATGCCCACACCCAGTCAGAGCCAGTATGCAAATTAACCCAACAAAGATGGTGGTTAATTTGCGTACGCTGAGGGAGGGAGAAGTGAAGACAAGACAGCTTAGAAGGAAGAGGGAGGAAAAGCGGAAAGCAAAGTGGCTGCCAGAGGGAAAGCTGCAGCGGGGCGGGTGGGGCGGGGCTGGGCGAAGCAGGTGGCGGTGGCAGCAGTGGCCGCTTGCAGGAATCTTCCTGCAAACGGGCTCCTATCCTATATAATAAAATAGTAGTATGCAAATTGTCCCCTTTACAGGTAGTTCTTCTGGGAGTTTGACCAGGGGGTTGGGCAGGCCAGGGGAAGGAAGGGAGTACCCGGCCAGCCTCTGCCAGCCGCTAGGGACCCTACAAGCATAAAATTCATGCACTGAGCCTCTAGTTTACAGTAATAAAAGAGAAACATGCAAAGTGACCATCGGTCCACTATGCCCACCAGCCAATCAAGAGGGAATATGCAAATTAGAAGGACAAAGTTGGAGGTCACCCTGCTGTTCAAGGCACAGAGTAGCCAGTCAGGGGCAGGATGCCTGCTTTGAGAGGGAGGGAGGGAGAGAAGGGATCTGCAGGAGCTGCACTCCAGATGCAGCAGTGAAGGCAAAGATGGCAGGCTCTGGCCCGAGTCTGCAGTGAAGATGAAGAAGGCAGACTCCAGCCAGAGGGAAGGCCTGGGTCCCAGGTGCTGGAGGAAAACCGGTGCTGGAAGCCAAGGGAAGAAAGGCCTATTGCACAAATCTCTGTGCAATGGACCTCTAGTTAATAGATACAGACCAAGTAATGCAGGACTATAAATGCCAAGCTGAAGAAGTTTTTGGGTTTGAATTGTTTATTGAGGAACTATTAAACATTTTTATTTAGTGAAGTGATGGAGCACATCTGTGGGAAAATTAACCTCTTAATTGAGTTCAGGATGTATTAGATGAGAAATTAAACAATGCTTCAGAAGCAATGGTTGTTGCAGTTTGGATGAAAGTACTGAATGGCTTGAACTAGGCTCAGGCAGTGGGAATGGAATATTGCAAATAAAGAACAGCATTTACTTGGTAACAGATCGAATATGGAATTGAGAAAGGAGTTACACATTATCGCCTTGGCAGTAATGAGAATGTGAGGTCTATTAATTTGTTGAATCCATTGGAAGAGGAAACAGCAGTAATCCATTTTGGACCTTTAGAGTTAGACTTTTTGGTCTGCCATTTAGATTATCTGTTCCTTGAAGACAATGACTTTCTTATTAGGTTCTGAATACATTTCTAGCACTAGTGTCTGGCTCATAGCAGCTATGCAGTAAAAATTTATTGACTGACTGAAACTAGGTACAAAGTATTTAACAGACAGTTATTTTAGCTCTCAAGAGAAGATTCCAACTAAAGATCTGGAAGTTATCCACAAATATATTGATCATCTTTACACTGAATTTTCAATTGACCAGAATGATATAAGAAATCAAAAGATAGAGAATACCTCTGGCTGGTGTGACTCAGTTGGTCGAGTGCCATACCATGCACCGATAGGTTGCTGGTTCTGCTCTCCTCTTGGGGCACATGCCTGCGTTATGGGCTAGATCCCCAATAGTGGGCCTGCAGGAGGCAATCAATTGATGTTCTGCTCTCACGTTGATGTTTCTTTCTCCCTCTCCCTTCCTCTAGATTCAAAAAATCAATAAGAACATTTTGAAAATAGAATAGACTCTCTCTTTCATAATTTATTTGTGTAGTTTAGCCTTTGGCAAGTTACTTAAGCTCTTTAA